GGTAGCGGCCGCGGTTGGGCCCTGCTGACCGCCCGCGGCGGCGGGGAGCGAGGCGGGGGCGTCTCTCGGTGCGGCCTGGCGGGCGCGCAGGGAGCGGCGGCCGCTGGCCCGGGGGAGGCCGCGGCGGCGTCCGAGTCCTTGCTTCAAATCGCCGTTAGGGAGGTTGTGGCGGGGAGGGGACGGGTCGTGTTTYACAGCGCCTCGCTGGCGTGGGGGTGCGTTAGCAAAACGCTGAAATCCCCCGGTTTCTCCCCAAGCAGCGCGTCCCTCCGCTGCGCAGTGTCGTAGATCTCTGCAGCCCTTTTTCCCCCAAATTCCCGGTGTCACGGGCTGACGCTCTGCGCTGCCCCTGACACAGGGAGCTTGTAGTGCCGTGCTGGGGCTGCAGTCGTGGCCTGCCGGTCACGTACACACACACACACACACACACACAGAAGTGTCTTTTTTGTTTGGTTTTGCTTTATTGCTGCTGTCCATGCTTCACGTCGAGCTCCCTGCCTTTGATTCCAGGAGAGCCCTTTGCACCGCAGGAGAGTCGCGCTTAGAGTCGCGCTTTATGGTGGCCGTTAGCGAGAGCAGGTAGGAGGCTGTGGCGGCTCTCAAGGTGTAGCCGGGGTGAAGCTGTCAGCGGCTCTCAAGGTGTAGCCAGAGTGAAGGTGTCAGCTCGAGTGTCAGCCGCGTGTGTGTGGATATGGAGCTGCCTACAGTTGAAAAAAATCTGGAAAAAAAAAAAAAAGATAGAATATGTTATTTTCAGGGTTCAAGTTCGTCTTTCAGCTTGGCATTGCATTTTATTATTATTGTCATCATCATTATTATTATTATTTTATACATTCTCAGGTAGGAGTTTGCGTCCAAGGCGATGTTATTTAGTCTTTCACATGTGCATTCATTTGTGCGTGTCTATATGTATAGACACACACGTGCATGAGTTAATATTAGTGCCCTGTGACCTGCTTAAGAGTAACTTATTTAGTGTRTGTCCCTTGGAGATAGAGTTAAATTAATCTTCACAGATGAACTATTTCTTTGTGCAGGTAATTTTTTTTGCAGGGGATTTTAAATCAAATCATGCTTATACAACACGTTGGATGTCATGGTCTTGTCTACAGTGTGCTAACARCTCTGCAATTGTTATTTCTGTGGACTAATCCTTAGCAGGCTGCTCTGCATTATTCATTTAGTAAATTCTCCAAAAGTTAAGAACTTCTTGGCTATGGAAAGCAAAGAATTGATCGACWCTTAGGTTCTCGTTTGCAGTGTTCTTAAAAGGAGCATTTCTGTTAATACTGGGTTACGGGACAGTGAAAGGATCAGTATCACAAATTTATATTTCTCATTTAAATTATTTCCCATTTTTGTGTTTGTTTTATTTGGACTTAAATCCTTAAATCTGATGTGCCTTTGCTGCTGTGTGCAGTCTGTTAATATTAACTTTCCTCCTGTAAGGAATATGATACCCTTGTATTGAACCTTTGTAATGTAACATCTTGTAGTAATTGCAAGACAGCAGTTAAAGGTAAAACTGCGCACTTATTTTCATTACTTAAGTATTGATACTGGTTATTATAAGACTGGCATAAAGTATTAGAAATTTAATTCTTTGTGTACATCTGATAAGACACTGTAAGGAGCAAAGTCCATGTTAGAAATTTGGAAGTATCTGCGTTATAAAAGAGTTGGCTTTTATGCTTTTTATCTCACAAACTACTTTCCAGCTAACAGCAACTGGAATCCAACAGTCTAACAGCTGCGCTGTCCAGTAGGTAAATGCCTTGGCAGGTGCTTTTATTAGCTTTTTTTTTTTTCCCCCGCTCTGTTTGGAAATACAKTGGGTAAAATGGTAGTTTATTGGGGGAGGGAGGATTTTTGCAGTTAATGCAATAAAGAATATGATGAAAAATAGGATGTTCAGACAGTCTCATGGAAATGCCTGGCGGTTTGTGGAAGCCGAAGGAGGCGGCTGGGCAGGGTTTCCTGGTAACGTCCTGGTTGGCAGCAGTCGTGCCCTGCTGGGAACCCTGCAGCTGGGTATCAGCGCGGGAGGAACGAGTGCCATGGGCTACACCCTGCTATGAGCAAGTATTCCTTGGTGTGGGCTCAGCCTGCAGCTGCGTTCTGAAAAGGAGTTTATAGGCAAATGCAGTTAATAACCAGTAGAGCTTTTTATTTAATGCTTTATTGTTGAAGTCTGCTTCTGCGCCCCCCCCCCCCTTTTTTACATTTTAACAAAACAGAAATGTTAAAAACTAAGACTTAGCATTTTTTGGCTACTTTATATTCCACAAAATATATGGCTGTATGGAAAAAAAAGATTCTCCTCAGTTTTATTGACTGGCACTTCAGGCCCTCCGAAAGAGAGGCCTTAGATTATGCAGAGGAGTTTTGGATTTCTCAGTGATTAATAAAAGAGACTTTTCGTCAGGGTAAGTTGTACTCATGTCTGATGAAGTCTCTATATATCATCCTGCGAGTTGGTCAGTATGCATTGTCTTGGATTTTTTTTTTCTTGTTAGTTATAAAGCTGTATAAAATAAATAGCTAGGCAGTGCTCACTCGATGTGCGTATTTGTTAAGCTAGAAACCAAGTGTTTTGCATTTGAGGCTTCCTGTACCTGTTAAACCTTTGGCTTGGCCAAACATCCGTCTCCTTTGGTTTCCCATCTTATTACTCTTCCTGACAAGATGTTCAATGTAGAAATTAAAGACTGCACAGCTTTTGTCTGTCTTCTATAAACACAAGTGTGTGGTGTGACACAACTGCCATAGGTACTTCACTCTACATGATGTGCTGTTAGAAAACAAGCCTATCGTACGTTGCTAAAAGCTTCTTCAGTGTGAACTGGGCGGCTACCAGGAAAGAAAATCGCTCTAGTCTTGTCAACTCCCCTTCTCCCCACATTGGTCAACAGTGATAAAATTGAAAAATAAATGTTCCTAATTAGTTTATTGAACTTCATGTGCACCAATTGTGAACTGGTATTGATTGAAGTTCCTGCTGGCAGAGTTGGAACACTTCTGTATCCGCCCATTCCACCCTGCAGTAAACACCACAATAGAGTATTGGCCAAATTCCTACTAAAGTGGGGGRAATTAATTGTTTTATGTTTTTAAATTGAATTGTACTATTATGCAACACTCCCCTTTTGCAGCTACTCAAAATAAYGTGTGCAGTTATCAAACAGCATCAAACCATGTTAATACCAGTCTTAGCTTTAGAAATGCAATGTTATGTGTGATCTTTCTTATGAGTTCTGGAGAACATACGGACATCTTTCATTTAGTTTCAAGTTTTTTTTCTGTGAGCTAGTTTCAGAACCGAATAAGCTTTAAGCACTGCATTTTGTGTAATGAAACCAAAACTGACTTGTTATCCTCCTGTTYTTGCAGTGTGGAAGCAGGACCCCGCGAGCAGCCTTCGCTGGTAGCTCCTCGCCTGGTCTCCGAGCCCGTGGGAGTCCGTCATGCAGCAGCCGCCGCAGACCGTCCCGGCAGGAGCCGCGGCTCCCCCGCCGGCCGCTCTGGCCCGCAGCGTGTTCTGGCGAGGCGGCTCCCTCGCTAAACGCCCAAATGCAGCCGCTGTCCCCGTGCAACCCGTCACAGACCCCTTTGCGTTTGGCAGACAAACACCCCAGGGGTCCCCTGCAGGTACCGTGCCCAAGGGCCACGTGCTGGCTATGCAAAATCCTGCCCCAGGGATGTTTCCCCAACCAGCTGTTATGCATCCTTCACCTCTCCACGCAGGGGACAATCCTCAYGGACTGCCTACGCCTTTATCAGCTGCTGTGTCTCAAGCAGGGATAAATCCCAGTACGTTTTCTAATATTCCAGCTTCTCCACCGCCCCCAGGATATGTTACAAATAGTACGACAGAGGTTTATCCAAATGCAGATGCTGGACTCCACGGCCCTGCAGCGTCATTGCAATATAACACAGGAGCAGCACTTGAGAATTCTTTCAGTGGGCATCCTGGAATGGTGTCTACAGCAAACAAACCTGGAGTTAGGCAGGATATTAACAGAGAACCAAGCGATGCTTCTCCGGGATCCACTGCAACACTCTTCTCTCCGCCTCCTCAGCAGTCCATGTCTCAGTGGAGACCCGTTCARGGTAACGTGCAGTCTCCAGTTCGAAATGTTGTGCCCTATCCTGAGCCATCTTTTCAAACTGACATTCATAACCTTTCTCAGACTTCTGTTAGCACTTCTCATCCTTCTCTACAGACAAATTTGCAGCAGGGTCCTGTGCACCAAGCTGTTCCACAAAATATCATGCAAGCACCTTCATTAGCTGGCTGTGAAAAAAATGGGAAAAACAGCTCTGCAGGTAACAGTCATCATATGAATAGCACCCAGCCTGGAAATACGTTTAGACAGAACGCAGAAATGACTAATTCTTGGTTAAATCAACCCTATCAAGAGCAGTTTTACCCACAGCCACCACTGCAAGACTCCAGTTTTGTTATTCCCACAGCTCAGGAAAATAACCCCCCAAAACAGTCTTTAGATATGTCTAATGCATCAAGTAGACCTACCCCCACAGATCGAGAGTCAGGAACTCTCTCGATGTTTTTCAAGGGGGATGAAGCTGAGAATGAGGAAATACTTTCATCTGAAAAAAACTACATGGCTGAGAAAACTGAATTTGCTGCTCAGCCAAATGTGGGACCCTTATATCACCAGCCAGTGCATCCTCAGCGGGTTGCAACAAATGTTGTGTCTCAGATGCAGACTGGGACAGGCTCAGCCAGTGAGAYGGCACAAAAAGGAATGGATGTCCAGTATTTTCCTAAAGCTGTAGGCAGTCCCCAGGAGATGCAGACCAGTAAGCATTCTGTGTTTGCTAACGATGACACAATGCATGCCAGTGACCCATCTGGAAACAGTGGGGCACAGTATGAAAATGTTGAGAACCTGGAGTGTATCCAGAATCAGGAAGTGCTGCCTAGYGAACCGCCAAACATGAGTGCTCTGTCCCCAGCTGCCTGCTCCGATCCGTACCGCTACGGATCCTTACCTGCTCAGGTGTTTCCCAAGAATGCTGTCGTGAGCCGAGCTGAGGGAGGACCAAATTTGGAGGCACCTGATTCACTACCTTATCCTGTTCGACCGGATAGTGTCTCTTCCACCTACAGCAATCGGAGCCATCGGAGTGCTTCTAGCTCAGCAAGACCTCATGAGCAAGTTGGTACGTTCATTCAGCAGGAAAGTGGGAAGCCTGATGAGGAAGCTTCTGCAAGCTTCTTTAAACAGATTGACTCTTCTCCTCTGGGAGGGGATTCAAGTGAGCTAAACATGAGCAAGAACTACCATGGCAGTCTCTCCCAGCCTCCAACTCCCAGCCCTCCTAAGCCTACTGGAGTATTCCAGACAAGTGCAAATAGTTCTTTTGAACCTGTGAGGTCCCATGGAGTTGGGATAAAACCTGCAGAGATCGACCAAGCGAAGATGGTGGTTGAATTGAGAGAGAACCATCCAAACCAAAAGAATATCAAGAAAAATACAGCCATGCCGACTGCTTCTCCAGGTAATCTTGAACAGCCACCGGATAATCTGGAAACCATTTTCATGCCTCAGGTCCACCCCCTGCCTCATGCCGTCRCTGATGAAGCTGGAAATATGTTGCACTCTGGATCTGGTATGGAAAATACACAGTTGTTGTCTGAGAGAAGGTCCTCCACAAGAGCTCAGGGCATGGTTAAGAAGTGTGACAGCCCAGCAACAACTCTGTGGGCTCATAATGAGTTGCCTAATTTTGGAGGAAATGTTCTTCTAGCTCCTGCTGCTCCTGCAGTGTATGTACCTGCCCGGCAAACCATGGAAGTCATTCAGCCACCAGATGAAGGCCTGTCTAATCAGCAACCAAACAAGCCAGGAACTATTGCTGTGCATCTTTCCCAAGATGGAAATATGTCTTCTGAAAATCTTGAGAATCCTCCCAAAATGGGAGAAGAGGAGGCACTTCAGTCTCAGGCAAGTTCTGGTTATGCAAGTTTATTGTCTTCTCCACCTACAGAGTCTTTGCAAAATCAGCCTATCCTCATTGCTCAGCCTAATCAAAGCTATAACTTAGCTCAGCCAATTAATTTTTCTATTTCTTTATCTAATCAGCTAAACAGAAATGAAAACAATCAGCCAGTGAAGGATGCTGGGGTTGGGGACAGGCCTGCATTGGGTCCCCAAACTTCACGTGCTGGTGGGTTCGTCTCTGGGGAGAATGTGCCATCACCTGTGATGCAAGCTGGATCTCTGCTAGTGAATGCACTTCCAAATACTAATCTGTTAAACCATAATTTACTGCAAAGCCCTGTTAATTCCTCTGATATTGCCTCTAATCATCCTGCAAAGTTGCTGATGCAAACTCCGCTTAATTTGACTCCAGACGGTCAAATGAATGTTCATTCTGAAGGCTTTGTTCCTGAACTTGCTAGCAAACCAGGGGCTAACTCAGCTGTTTCGCCAGGGACGAATCACCCCAGTGGAAGTGCAAGTGCACTAGTCCCACCTGGTAGTTCCGTAGTTCAGGCTAATAATTTCACAAATCACTCAAATAGCAAAGAAGAAGCTGCTGGTGTGCATGACTTCTCAGTATCACGGACATTGGAGAAAAGCAGTGCGAGTAATTCTGTACATGTGCATAATCAATCGCTTCCTGGTGGACCAGTGTATCCTCAAGAGCCAGCTGGCAGTGCTGGACAGGTGGGTCCTGAAATGCATGACAAACAGCATTTCTATCAGCAGGTAACAAAAGATACCCAATACCAGGCTGTACAGGGAGCAGTGCCCTCTCCACCACAAATGCAAGCGCCTCAGATGCAGCAGCCGTCGTCACCTGGGCAGCCCTCAGCAGCCCCAAGCCACCAGGCAGGGACTAAAGCCGTGCAGGAGTGCCAGCATCACGAGAACCAGGTGCCTGGTAACCCTGCTCATCCCACGGGTCCCAAAGAGGGCAGCTCAGCTCAGCTCCCAACAGGGAGTGATCCCGTGAGCCCGGAGAAGCAACCAGTGCCTGCACAGTCATCCTCCACAGCTGCTCCTGCCACCACCCCGGCAGTGCCAAGTGTGCAGCAAGACCTGCAGCGGCCACCCCCGCCTCAGACTCCTCAGGGTGCCTTTGGTCCACCACAAAATCCTTATTATTACTATCGACATCCGTATGATGCCTACCAGCCTCCATACCCAGCACCTTACCCTCCTGGAGACCCCAGGGCCGCAGCTCATCTTTATTACATGGTAAATATTGATTTCCCCCTTCTTTTCTTCTCAATACGTATTAGTAATTTAAATTTTTAAATTACAGGCTTAAACAGTGGTGTTTTGATAAGCATTCAGTGTAGCATTTGTATGAAGTATTTAATTTTAGGGAAAATTGAAAATAACAGGAAAAGGTGCAGAAAGCTTTTTGGAGATGGTCCTTGTACTGCCCCTTGTTGAATTCAGTAATTTATAATATCTATTATGTATTAAAGCTGAACCAGCAATGTGATAACCCCCAGTTACAAAAATAGACTTGAAAGATGTGAGGAGGATCTTAAATTTATTTTACAAAGATACTTGAAATGTAATGTGGTTACTAACATCAATTCCATTTGGCACAGATGTCAAAGTATTTTTATTGTCAATTTTGGAAAAAGTTGGCAGTTGTAACCATCTTAGCTGTACGAGCGTTTGAACTTGGTTCTCACCTCCTACCTGAATTATTGGCAATTTAATAGAGTGGCTAATGTAGTCGCTGAAGTGCCTTTAATTCAGAAGTTTTGCACGTGTATTTTTCTTCTTAAGTTTTGGATAACGATGGACCTAAATCTATGCACAAAGGGCTATATTGCCCCAAGGGGCACTGAAAGCTTCAGTCTATAAAGCTGCATCTCTGCAGATATCCGAGCTTGTTTGTGTTAAGGGGGAAGAAGTCTGGAATTGCTCTTGAAAGAACCAGCTTTATTGCTCACTTGATTTCTACTTTTGGAGGTAGGAAGTTTCTTTTTTCACATGTCCATCTCTCTTCCATAGGAGGACAGCTATGGCCAGTATGACCCACGATACAGGCACTACGATAGCAACAGTGCTGCGTTTCCAGAGGCTGGGAGCTACCGGTATCCTGAGCCCGAGCGTCCCAGCTCCAGAGCCAGTCACTGCTCTGACCGGCCTTCTTCTAGGTATGTAATCCTAGCACCGAATGCCGATTTACAYGTCCTGAAGTTCAGCCTGTAACTTTGCCAAATGAAACTTTATAACATAAGCTGCAGGGAAGGAGCTCAAGAACTCATCCTATGCAACAGAATCAGCATTGAGGCTGTTCAGCTCTCCTACCTGTGTGGGATGAAAGAGCAATGAAGGCCATAGTTTTGTTAGTTGGTATTAATTTACTTTCTAACTAGCACTTAAACAGCATTCCCTAGTTATGTTAGTAAATGGCACTTTTGTACATTCGTCTGGGACTTGCTTTGCAAGCATAACAGTGTGCATGGCCTTCTAATATATGGTGGTTTATATTCTCAAAAGACAGAAACTAAGAATCAAATTCTGTTTACCACCTCTGGAAAGATTGTAGGAAGTTTTGGCATTGAGAAGTACGAAAACAGTGACTCAGTGTGGTGACTTTGTCATCCTCTTAAGTGAATCTAAGTGCACTGAGATGTCTTGTGATGAGATGAGTTAATGATTTCTAGTCATACCGAGATAGCACTCGGGGGATACTGTGCTTGGCGAGTTTAAAATGTGGGCTGTACCATGATGCTGCAGGGCAGAAGAGCCCAAGAGTGAGAGAGCCAATGTGACAGTGTTTGCCTGCAACTTTCACATAATATTTCAGGATTGATGCAGCTTGATATTTGGGAGAGTTAGGGCAGTGGGGAGAGGAATAACATCCTTCTGAAAGGGAGAGAGAAGATGGGTGCCTAAACTTCTTGTGATAAGATCAAGYCTCCTGCTTTGCAAAAGTAGGCGTCACGTTAGCAAGCTTTCTACGTGCTCTTTCAGTGTCACTCGACTTGCTTGACCACGTTGGGGTTTGTGGGGTTAATTGTATGTTCGTTTGTCATAGAAGAGCCCAGAAGCTTCTGTCATTCAACACTGTCATTTAATTTTTCCCTCCTGTGCACATATACATGGATGTTTATGTGTCTGCACTTGCACTGTGTTTTACTGTGCTCTCACCTAACATTGGAGCTTTCTTTTGGACACTGTTTGATGGCTTCCCAAAAATAACATATAATAAAAGCTCAAACTTGAGGCAGCAGTTACCTCATTGCCTATTAAATGGCTCTCTTTGCTTTTGASACCATTCAAAGGATGCTAGTTGTAGCAGTAGTTTTTGAAATTAATTGTCCATAAGTAACTGGATTTGTCACAAAAGCAGTTTACAAAAGCTACTAAACTATTGTGTAATAACAACTGTCAGCTTCTGAGGGCATTGAGCAATTTAGTCGTGTATTGGTTTGGAGGTCTAATTTTGTGATTCCTAGATTTCCTCTAAATATATTATTTTAAAATTAGTCTTCTAACTGTCTAGTTGTGGCACTGGAGTTCTGCAGATCCCCTGGTGGCTTTGGGGRAGAAAATACAAGTATCACAGGAGGAATAACTCTGTGCCCTTTCTTTCAGGCAAGGATATAATGAAGATTACTATACAAAAGGTGGATGGAGTGATTATTATTCAGGCTATTACTCTAACTTATATGATTATGGAGGTAAGGTGTCAGAGTGCTCTGCATTATTGTATATAAATTTCTGGTTTAGAAATACATATATGGGGAAGATTGACTTAAAAATTAACCAGTATTACTTTTTTTTTTTCTTTCTTTCTATATTAATAAATTATTTTCCACAGCTAATGAGCATAATGAGAATAAAGTTTACTGGCTGAAAATTGATCTGGGGACTTTGGTTTTGCATACTGTGCTGCCTGATTTTTGCTCAGCACAAATAATGAGAAGAAAATAAAGGGAGCCATTTTCCTTACTGATTTTTCTTTTTGCTGCTTGGGATGGATGCATACCCCAGCTAGGGTTTCTGATTTTAATCCTTAGCCTATAACCTATGGCCAGATTGCAAAATTTAGGTGGGGGATGTAAACAGAAACTGACCTTGTCCATAGTTTGGCCTTGTCTGTAGTTATCTGAATTCGTGCAGAGAGATACTGGCTGGTAACCTGAAGGTGGTTGCTTGGATAGTGCCAGGGAGAATTTTGAACAAAATCTGCCTGCTCTAAAGACTCACAGCAAAAGTCTATATTAGATGATATTTTTTTTCTCGAGTTATTGTATTCTGACTAAATTTTAAAGTTGTTACAGCAGGTCTGTCTGATGGACTGTCTCCTTARACATTGTTACTGTACATTTAGCTAGAAACTCTTTATCTGACAAATGCGAGACACATTCTTTAAACTCATCTAGTAAGTAAAAAAAAAAAGGAATATATTTATATGCTTTAAGTATGTTAATTCTGCTTTTGTTATATACTTCAGAGCTACTGGCTATAACTAAAGAGGAAGGAGTTGAGAAAACTTATAAGTAATGTCTTCAAATAGCTAAACCATTGCTTTTTGTCCTCCAAAGATCCAAATCGTTGGGAACGTTTTTCCTCGGCATATGACCCCAGATACAGAGATCCTAGAAGTTATGACCAGAGGTATTGGTACGATGCTGAACACAACCCCTACCAAAAGAGAGAAGCGTATCCTTATGGTAACAGGTGTGTCCATTCCATCCACGTCCTGCCTTTTGTGATAGCTGTGCCACTCTTCAGAGTTTTGGGATATTATGTAGCTTTGTAAGCAAAATCTTCCTGCTAATATATCGTAAGGAGGCTGATACTGTCTATGGCAGACTCTTAAAATGTATTAKTACAAAATATTTCACAGATCATGTTGCTAGTTCTTCCTTTTCCTTTAACAGAGGGAACTGAGGGGGAAAAGTGAACTGTCATGTCACTCTTGGGTAAAGGATTTAAGACAAATAAGGCTTGTTTTCAGACTGGTTAAATGTGCTTTGGGTTTTCCTAGAACACTCTCAGAGAATGATGGAATGCTTCCCGAGCAAATGTCTTTTGGTTTACTGTAATAAAAACCCTCAATCTGGGAAATAATCTAAAAGCCATTTTGAGGTTAATTACATTTTTCTCCTTAATTGGTATGCAGCCAAGTTGCTTTCCCCCTAAGATACTAATGGCTATGTTTATTTTTTGCTTTGTTTCTTTCTTGGTTCTTCAGACTGGACCGCTATGAAGATCACTGGCGGTACGACCCTCGTTTCGCTGGCAGCTTTGATGATGAAGCTGAACCTCCCCGAGATCCGTACGGCGACGACTTCGACAGACGCAGCGTCCACAGCGAACGCTCTGCTCACAGTCTCCATAGCTCCCGTAGTGTCCACAGCCACCAGAGCAGTTTCAGCTCTCGTTCCCAACAAGTGAGTTCCTAAAGGACACATCAGGTATTGTCTGTCAGCTGAGCTGCTCTTAGGCACAGGATTGATAACTTTACGGTAATCTTTATGAACTTTAATCCTGTATAGTAGGAGTGGGTTAGAAATTAGAAATATGCAAAAATATTTCTGTTTTTAGCTTGGGGAAGATGCATTTTGACTGCTCTTACTCTGTAAGTTAAAACTGCCTTCTAATACAGTTTGGAACTTAATATTTGTCATAGTTGTCAAGAGAACTTTAACCAGAATCAGCACTCAGTTGTGCAAGTTGCCACATATACAGAAATAGAAAACTTCTACTGAATCCATCTGCTGTTTGTGAGAACCTTGCCCTTGCTGTGCTTGGCTGTAGTTGGCTCTGAGTGTTGCATCATTTTTGTCATCACAAGCAAGAAAGCTAATACTGCACTTGCAGTCTGCAAGACTAACTCCACATTTGTGTGATACTATCTTTTATTTAAAAACAAAGCCAAATCTAACCTCTGGTTATTTATATAACTATGGCCTAAATACTAATACCTGAAAAATACAGAGAATATCCAAGTAAATTGTTAGGCTAGTCAAAAATATCTTTTAACCACAGTCTTACGTGTTAGTACATTAAGTCTGTTGGAAGACAAGGTGATATTTCAGTCTGAGCTCCATTTTTTAATAATATTGAAAGTAGTATTGGAGATCATTTAGGCATTTTTCTGTAGGCATTTTAAGTCAACGAGGTGTTTATCAGCTCTACTTGAGTCAGATTTCCTGTCAAGAAAGGTGAAGGATACTCCTGCTTTGCATCCCTAGTTGGTGATAGAGCAACACTGCGCCCTGAAAGTCACAGTGCTGTCCTTGGCCCATGGCACATGGATATTCTGTGAAAGAACTAAATGCATTTGGATGTGAACAGATCAAATAGGAATTAAAACACTGAGGGGATGAATGCTAAGAGATACTAACTGACTTGCTGGGGAGCTTCCCCCAGTGCGAGTCCTTTGTAGTGATGTGGTAAGCCTGCTTTAAGAACCATCTAAACAAACAAAACGGGAGGCAAAAAAATGCTTACAGTCTCTTGAGTCGTGTTTGCTGCATTGCTCGCTTCATGCAACTCCCCTCTCCGCTAACAGTTACTAATATRATCTGTTTAGAGCCAGCTGTATAGAAGTAATCATGACCTAACGGCTAACGCGTATGACACTGCGCAGGCCGTGTCGCTCCACCCAGACTACCCGTACGGCGGATACGCTGCCACCTTTGATGGCCAACAGCCCTTTGCAGATTATGGCTACCCACCCGAGAGCGGATGGTCAGCTGTAGAGCAAGGTATTTGCACCAGCGGGGTCGTGGAGGGAAGGGATTGGGGGTAKAAGGGTGTCTCCCAGAGCAGTTTGCCCTTCTATTAGTTTTTGTTCTTGTTGTTGTTGTTATTATGTATGTATGTGATTCTTTCATGTGTTCATGGAGCCTGTTAACAAGAAAACATCGTTCTTGGCAATTTTGAGCAAAGTTTTTGGTTATTTTCAGCACRAGGATAATCCCTTGCTGAAATCTGGGTATATCCAAAACAGCATCTCGGTGGTGTTTGCTACGAAGTATTGCATACTTGCAATTGTAAATGTCTTTTTAGACAGATGCTAAACTATGCTTCTTATATGTCATGGGGATGATTACATTTTCACTTTAGATTTGCCCTTATTGTTTCTTACCCTTTCTGCATAGAACGACATTTTATGGATTTTAAGATTCTTTAACTTTGTGTTTGCAAATCTCTGAAGACTCTGCTTTACTGAAGGTTACTGAATAGGTTAAATATAACAGTAAATTCAAAAAGTTGCCGGTCAGGTTGCTGCTGCTTACTTCACCTTTTCTCCCCACTTCAGTACCTTTAAGGCCCTCAACACCTGAGAAGTTTTCAGTGCCTCACATCTGTGCTCGGTTTGGTCCTGGGGGCTACTTAATAAAAGTGTTGCCAAACCTGCCTTCGGAAGGACAGCCAGCTCTGGTTGAAGTTCACAGCATGGAGGTAAGGTGTCTTTTTTGTACTAGTACTTGCACACACAAGTATTGGAACAGCACCAGGACAATTATAAGGGGATGCGAGGAGGATTTTCATAGTAAACATGACTTTATTTTTCATATAAGTGATGCTACAGAATTACTTCTTATGTGAAGTAGATTTTGACATTTATTATCCATGTGCAGTTTGTGGGTTATATGTATTTTGTTCAAGAGCAAGAGCCTTGATTACGTTATAGGTTAGATCCAGGTTCAGAGTTACAGGAATTTCTCATTGTTTGTATTTGTGTTTCAGACTATGTTACAGCATTCTCCAGAGCAAGAGGAGATGAGAGCATTTCCTGGTCCTCTTGCTAAGTATGTTCTTAGAGATTTTAAATGACTCTTCTGGCTTCAGATTTCATTTCTTTATTGAACTTTAAAATGTCTATAAATGTCCATAAATTAGAGGATTTAGTGACTCAAAGTATTTGTTGCTTTTTACTTGCTTAAATAATGCACATCTGTGAATGTGTTCCTTGTGCTATTTGCAGTGATGACATGAATGTTTTGTCTCATAAACACCTCTTTTTTTGTTCCTCCTAGGGATGACACCCATAAAGTGGATGTTATCAATTTTGCACAAAATAAAGCTACACAGTGCTTTCAGAATGAAAATCTAATTGATAAAGAATCTGCAAGTCTGCTGTGGGACTTCATTGTACTGYTGTGCAGGCAGAATGGGGTATGTCCTGCTGCTTGAATTTTTCTTTTCTAGAATATTTTATACATAAAATGTTATTTATATAAGAGATAGAAATATATGTATTGTGTCTTATCTTGGGGGTAATTCGCTGGTTGGCAGAAGAGGGAAACAGATAATTTGCCTTCAAGTCTTCAAAAGACTGATATTCAGCCATTGCTGTTGTAGTGACAAAGTGAAGACATCACTGAATATAAGAATGACCATATCCTTAATATGACTGGAGKTTTATTTTGATTTTTGTTTTTCTTTTCCCATGTATAGACTGTGGTGGGAACAGATCTGGCTGAACTTTTGCTACGAGATCATAAAACAGTGTGGCTCCCTGGGAAGTCGCCTAACGAAGCAAATCTGATYGATTTCACTAATGAGGCTTTGGAACAAGTCGAAGAGGAATCTGGTGAAGCCCAGCTCTCGTTTCTCACAGATAGTCTTATAACCACAATTGACAGCCTTGAGAAAGAGACAGAAAGATTCAGAGAGTTGCTGCTTTATGGCCGTAAGAAGGTAARTGCTTATGCTACTGTTTAAGTTTATACCTGAGTGGTATTTTGATTAAAGCTTTTAAGTTAAAAATCAAAAACTTGTATTCATGTGCTAGGATTTGACCAAGCAAACATTTTTAATTCAGCTGCTACTATTAACATAAAGCAGTTGCTGTCTGTGTAAGCTAATTTAAGCTGTACATTAAGCTTTCTCCAATAAACTAATTTCTGTATTAATCAGGATGCTTTGGAGTCAGCCATGAAGCATGGTTTATGGGGTCACGCTCTGCTGCTTGCCAGTAAAATGGACAGCAGAACACATGCAAGAGTTATGACCAGGTACAGTGTTTTTCTTGTTAGTATCAAAATTAAGTGATTTTGAATTGATTTCCCCCCTCACCCACCCAGCYTGGATTGCCATATGCTAGTGACTGATCCACTCAGTTAATTGTTTTGCTATTGAGCATTATCCCTGGGCAATTTCAGTGCAGCATTTTCAAGCTATACTTCCTGCTCAAAAACTAAACTAGAACTCTGTGTTCAAGTAGCTTTTAACTGCTTACCCAMAGTGTTTGTGTTTTTGTTTTTCTGTATAATGTCTCTGTAGATTTGCCAACAGTCTCCCAATTAATGACCCTCTGCAGACTGTTTACCAGCTCATGTCTGGAAGGATGCCAGCTGCATCCACGGTAAGATTCCAGTTGAAGCTGCAGTTGAGATTTAAGCAGGCGCCGTGGTGAGTAGTGTAGCTCCCAGTAGTAATCTTTTCATCTACTTCTCAAAAATATCTGGCCTAGAATGCCAGATAAGTTGATTTTTAGTCCTCTTTTTAGGTTGAAACGCCTATGTAAAACTCCAGTCACTGGTGTGACTAAGTAATTCTTCTAATTTTAGTGCTGTGGAGATGAGAAATGGGGAGATTGGAGGCCGCATCTAGCAATGGTGTTATCCAACTTGACCAATAACATGGACTTGGAATCCAGGACTATTGCTACCATGGGAGACACTCTTGGTAACTCTTGGGGAATGAACAGGGTGATGATTGAACTTCTGAAAACTTAATTGCTCATTTGTTTTGAAAACAAACAATTGCTGCTTAAAATGTGAAACAGARCACTTCTTTGTGGGCTTTTGTCTATTGTAAAGATATATTTGAATGCAAAGACAGAACAATGTGGAACACTGAATTGTGATGTGCTACTGAGAGAAAATATCCTGACTTCTGTCTCTCACTTTTCTACAGCTTCCAAAGGCCTTCTGGATGCTGCTCACTTTTGTTACCTTATGGCCCAGGTTGGATTTGGAGTTTATACAAGGAAGACCACAAAGCTTGTCCTGATCGGATCGAATCATAGGTTTGGCTTAGCTCATTGTTTGTTTRCCTGTTTGTTTGTCTTTAACTCTTAAAATATGAAAATAAAAGCCTAATGGCTTGAAACTGAGTTGCAGTGCTTCTGCCATCACCACTGCCACAGTTGTTTGAGATACCTCTCTGATGTCATCCTATGTTCTAAGAGAGGAAGTTATTCCTTCTGTGTGTTCTGCTGCTTCTCATCTTATTTCGAATTCACAGATCTGTATTTGTTGACAGTATATAGTATCTCACTGTCAATTAATATTTTTCTTCCCTCATTCCCCAGTAGCTTGCCTTTTTTGAAGTTTGCCACCAATGAAGCCATTCAAAGAACAGAAGCCTATGAATATGCTCAGTCACTGGGCAGTCAGCCTGGCAGCTTACCCAATTTCCAGGTAAAGAGATGCTTCTTTGTATTTTTGTCAGGTTTTGCCAGGTGTTTATCTCRCATGTGCTTTGTCTAGCATAGAAACTATTTTATCAGTTCCAGAATGAAATTCCCATAGGTAATRTTATGCAGAGTAGCTTTTCCCTGTTGTTTGTCCTTGAGTCAACCTTTTTGTGTTTTTCTCTGGGCATTCTGGACTCAAGAATTWTTCCTTCTGTTGCTATCATAAGTCTATATCCCAAAGGAAAAATCAAGCAGGATTTGTTTGCACTGGATAGATTACTCCCATAGGATATATTGGGTGGAAGAGGAGATTGAGGTGGTGGGGCAGGGACTAGACTGTTGGTTTTGTTTTTTAAACATGCTTGGCATAGACAAATGGTGTATATGAACTTTGACTGAAATGGTGAACTCTTATTTGAAATTTCTAAGGACTTTCTGACCACCTGCTTTTTCACCTTCTTGCATTCTGCAGGTTTTCAAATTCATCTATGCTTGTCGCCTCGCAGAAATGGGACTTGCTGCTCAGGCTTTTCATTATTGTGAAGTAATTTCCAGGACTGTCCTTAAAGATCCACATTACTATTCACCTGTACTTATTGGCCAGTTAATCCAGGTAACCTATGGATGAATGTTCCTCAGAACTAAGTATTTGTGGCTTCATACTGTAGTTTTTAAGTTCTAACTAAAGTTAGCTTTTTAAAATGCTGTTTTTAAAGTTAATCTTTGTAATGATTCTTTCTTCTAGATGTCATCACAGCTACGCCTGTTTGACCCACAGATAAAAGAGAAGCCAGAACAAGAATCCTTTATTGAACCTTCATGGTTAGTAAGGCTTCGACATGTGGATGGACAGATCAAGGTACAGAATATACATGTCACAATGAAAAATTACCTTTTAAGGCTTAATGTCAATCTTCATTTTTAAAATGTTTTAAACTATAGAAACATGAGGTGAATGCATCGTAAGATCACAAAATACAAATGTTATGATCTAAATCAAGTGAATGTACTGTATTTTAGTGCCCTAAAATTCACTGCAGAATAATTAAAGGATGGTGTAACTTGTGCAAGAGACTTTTCTTGGTGTAAGAAGAATTGGAAGCCTTATTAAGATGTAATAATTCCAGTTATAAGCAAAGGATTTGTTTGCCAGGAAAAAAACAAAAGTTTTATGTGATTAGTGCAGCTAAATTTTAACAAACAAAAAGTCGAAGGGAAGGTATATTCTTTCTTTACAAAGATCCATTACAAACTTGAAAGCTTGATCTATTTAACTAACTTTGGTAAAACCCTTTTCTTTAAGTATTTTGGTTGAACTTGACAAAAGGCTTGTAACTCTTTCCTTTTTTTGACTAAATACTAACAAATGACCTGCGCTATTTTCACTCTGAGATTTCCCTTGCTAAATGTTCCCCTGGTTTATGACATTAACATCTGGAAGAGTTAACAAGATCTTGCTTTCTTGTGCAGGAGGGTGCAATAGCTTATAACGCAGACAGATCTACCCCACAACAGTACGCGTCCAGCACACCAAGCTCTGAATTAGACCATGCCAGTCAGTGTGATGGAGCAGGAGTCGGCCATGACATGGGTCCTGGTACTGAAAATGCATTGTTAGCATCCCTATTGCCCAGTACGGCACAACAGATGCAAAGTGTGCAGCTGATGCCTTCAGGTTAGTGTTTCCTATCCTTCCTCATGACAAAGAAGAAAACGAACATTTGTGTTTCTCGTGTTAGAAACCTCTTAAGAGGGTCATGGAAACAGTGAGGTTTCACTCRTGTGTGTTACTTGCAATAGCAAGGGTTTATTTTCTGGATCTTTCACTTAATTAGTACTCCTAATTCTTTTGTGCTGTAGCACCTCAGACCATCCTTGATGGGTCGGCTGCCATGATCCCTYCTGCTGACCAGGAAGCTGTTCAGAGTGTCCCGTTCTATTCGGTGGGTCCTCCACCTGTTGGTCCAGGACCTGGCTTTGCACCTGCGGGATTTCCCAATCAGTATGGAGCTGAACCATCACCACTGTATGTAGGGTCAACGGTACCTCCAGGAGGGCCACCACAAGAGTCTGAAGCACGTTCAGAAGAGCATACAAACCAAGAAACAGGTTTGGCAGCATTAAAAATCCCTTTTCTTCCTTTTTAAGGGAAGTGAAATATTTGGGGGATAATGCAAAATATCTTAGTATTTAAAAAAAAATCAAGTAGTTAAATTGAAAAAAGAAAAAAGAAAGTATTAATCTTGCATATTGAGCATAGCTTAAGAGATGTCAATCACCAGATTATGGCTTAGCCCCAGCAGGTAACTCCCTGTTTTATCGAATCACTGAATAAACCGGGACTGGCAGTCCTGTCTCCAAGGTCTGTGGCTGGAGTCTCAGGGAGTTCTGCCTCTGGACATCAGCCTCAAAGGCCTTGATGAGTTTTGTTTCTCACGTGTGAAGACAGACATACTAAACTTGGGAGAGCTGTGTAAGAGACGTGAAGAAACATATACTACTCCATACCAGTGGTTGCATCCCTTGGCTTACTCTGACCTGTATTTAGAACAAACCTAATTACCCATCCAATAACAAAAATCTCAGCAACTTCAGTTCTTTAAAAGTTCAAGTTATTTGTAGCACAAGACTCATRACTATTGGGGAAAAAAAAATCACTAAAGTGTTTTCATTAACATCATCTAATTTTATTTTTTAAGGAATGCTGAGAACTGCCCCAGAGTCTCCATCAAGAAATGCTTTCCCAGATCAGAGAGAGGAGGATTTCTATGGCAGAATGGCTGGCATGGTATCCTTATTTCATACGTTTCTTCAAATCTTAGCATCGTGGTTGGTCTTTGCAAGCACAAAGTGTATTGGCGCATCTTGAAATTGTCTTTATGAGCAAGATTTGGTGTCAGATACTTAGCTATTTCCTTATTAAGCCTGTGCTGCTTTACATCTAGCTGGGCTCTGGGGTGAAGATGCAGGTGTGCATCTCAGTCCTCAAAACATAGGGTATGCTGCAAGCAGACTGTTTCTGTCCCCAAATCTCTGTTTTTATCTGTGTTTCACTTTCTGCTGGTGCCTTTGTGTCTCCTCCTAAGTTTTCAAAGGAATTTGTTTAGCAAAATGAAACATCGGCCGTTCACTCCTGCAGTGAAGACTTTGTACTCTTCTGTATGTTTGTAATAACAGGGCTATGGGCGAAGATCTCGGACCACTTCAGAGTCCTCTGTCCATTCCGTGGGCCGAGAGAGATCCCACTCTGCAGCAAAACAGCCCTCTCCTCCTGCTCCGTCTATTCCTGAAAGGAAAGAGACTAAAAAGGAAAAAAAGAATGAGTCAGCACCTAGAAAGGTAAACTAGATTAAAAAAAAAAAAAAAAAAGAGAGAGAGAGAATTTAAAAGAAAATAAACTATTACATGATTCTTTTTCTTTGAGAGAGAATTAACTGGATGTATTTATTCTTAGACTGGTGCCACCTGGTTTCGCTGGCTGATGGGAAAAGGAAAGAATGAAGCTTACCTTCCAGATGACAAGAACAAATCAGTAAGGCCTCTAAATAAATTATCTCTATACATTTTAATTTGTTTAAATTGTTTTTCTGGATGGCAGGTGATTGTTGTTTTGACAACAAGTAAGAAAATGTTATTATGTGAAAAAAATTCAGAATTATACTTATTCTGAGATGAATAAGCCTAAGTTAAACATCTAACCTTTAACTGTGATTTCTTTGCAGATTGTTTGGGATGAAAAGAAACAACGCTGGGTTAATTTGGATGAACCAGAAGAAGAGGTAATTTTAGGTCTCTATATTTGCCTAAGTGGAAAACTCTGAAATCTGTACTAGCAGATAATTCTCTCTAACTTGTTATTGACTCTTAAGAGGTACGTTTTGCTGAATTTGGATTAAAATGTGCAACACTAGAAACTAATAAGCAGAATTTTGTATGTTTCATCTTTCTGGAACCATTTCTGTCCTCAGGTACTTGTGTAGTTCGATCTAGTAACTATGATAGAATTTTAAAATTAAATTGCTGAAAGTTTTAGTTAAGCTTCATAAAAACTGACATCATGTAGACAATTGCCTGTCATTTGGTTTGTTGCATGAAGAATAGAGGAGGAAAAGGGAGGAGTCTGTTTTTGAAAAAGCAGTGCATTCTGAAGCAAAAAGTCTACCGTTTGTCCATCCTTATCCTTCAAGGTAATTATTCTAGACCATTGTAAACAAATAGTAAGAACCCCTGGTGTTGCCACTCCTTTTGTAGTGAGTCTAGGTTGTAAGTTGGAAGATTTCTGAGGTTAGATAAGGAATTGTCAGACTGAAGAATTTTGAGTATGTTGATGCTACTGGATGTGTCTGTATATCAAATTTTATATACTCTGAATAGGTAAAAGTAGGGAACCAAGCTGAAGACTTGATTTAACATTATCAATTAAATGTGGTTTAATTTTTTTTTTCCCCTCCCTGCAGAGTAAACCTCCACCACCCCCTCCAGCAGGATTTCCTAAAGTTCCCCAGACTGCTCCTCCTGGGCCTGGTGGCCCCCCTAGTGCTCCTGTCAACATCTTTTCCAGAAGAGCAGGTAATATACTGCTTTTATTTCGGACTTTTTCTTAAAATCAAAACACAGATATGTTGTCTCTTCTGAAAGTCTTTGCGAATGGTTGGCAACTGATGCCGTGGAGCTTTCGCCAGTGTTGACTTTGGTGCCTAGCTTCTACATTGTAATCACTSTCAATTGTTCTGTGACATAAGTGACACTATCCCCGGGCATTTTCTGATTCTGAATGGTGGTATAACTAGGTGACTGTTCAGAATAGCCAGAGGTAGCTAATACAGTGTCTTATTTCTGTTGTTTCTGGATATTTCTTTTAGCGGGAAGCAGAGCTCGTTATGTTGATGTCCTGAACCCAAGTGGAACGAAGTCRAGTGCTGCTGTTCCAGCTCCATCAGACCTATTTGCTCCATTGGCGCCAATGCCAATTCCTGCAAATGTCTTTGCMCCAAATTCAGGTGTGTCATGGGTTCCCAAATCTGTGGGAGGATATTTCAGGCTTMCTTTGCTTCTCTGTGCATTATGTATCCTTTAATGAACACTCATTAACTCAGTGCACTCTTGTTAACAATGATTTCCTTTTTGTTGTTGTTTTTTTTTTGTTATTAGTAGTGAAATTGGTCTAGAAACTGCAGTGAAGCGAATTAATAAAGCTTAGCTCTGCACTCAGTCGTTTGTTACAGAGCAGCTGGGTCATCTAAAGGGCAAAATTTGAATTGTGCAGTGTTCCTCACTTGCCAAGTATCTGCTACTCACTGCTGACACCTATTTCTCTTCCAGGATTGTTATTTGGGAAAGAAAGAGAAGGGACTGACTTACCTGCATACTTGCTTGTCAGTCCGYTTTTGCTATCACTGCATGCTGTACTGCATGTAGTGATACTGCATATGGACAAGCAAGGTTATCCATGCTGTTTTCTCTTGCTTTTGTAGCAAGACCAAAGCATTTGGAGATACTAACATTATCCTCTTCAGATTCTCTCTCTCTCTGGGAATAGGTTGATATTGCAGAAAATCATTTCTGCTGATGACCCTCATTCTGTTAAGTCAATTACCTACATATAGTGTGTTTGGTTATATCCTTTTTCCTTTGTAGTCCCAGGGGAACCTCAGCCTCTGGAAGGCAGTGGAGCTGGAGAGCATGGATCAGCTGCAAATCAACCCAGCACAGACCCTGCTGCAGCTGCTGATCCAGAGGTGGGCTGGGGTGATGTGTATGCRCAGTTCAAAACTCTGGGTTCTTTTTGTGGGTGGAGTGGGGTGGGGGCATGGCAGAAATCTCTGAATCTTCATTGAAAAAATAGGGAAGGCAGAGCACAAGTGAAAATGGAAGTGGGAAACTCACTAAAGGTTGCATTTCCCAGTTTGGCAGTGCTGTAAATTCCATATTTGCTGTATGTCAGATAAGGAATCATAGCAGAAATGTGAACTAGCATCATAATGGGCCTTTGAGATACAGTAACAAAGATGAAAACAAAAGAAGTGCATTGTTTTTCTTTAGTATTTAAACACTGCAATGCTTCCACCTGGATCCGGGCTTCCTGTTTCCAACCCTGATGGCTCCCAGTCGGGCGAGGTAAGGCTTGATTCAAAGTAGTTGGCTAAGGACCTGTGCAGTGTATTTTAACCATTAATCGTAGTCACCTTCACCTGGGCACTGTGAAACAGCTAGTAACTCCATGGAGGATGATTAGCTGAGGTGGAAACAAGTGACAGCATCCAAAATTGTACAGAAAAGACCTCAAAGTCTATATGAAAAGTTCAATTTCCATGTCKTTCATTGTGTTTTGATCTTGTTCTATACAAATAGACTTTTACAAACGTTTTTTTTTTCAGAGTGAGATGTTAAGGTAGCAGTTTGGGAGTCTCTTCTTGCCTCCATGCATGCATTTAATTTGACTAATAGTAAATGCAAGACACAGGAGGTTAGATTGCTGTGTGCCAGGCAGAGTAACATTACCTTTGTTTCTACTAAATGTTTTCTGTACCTACATAATTTTGTGCTTTAAGAAGTCCTTTTGATTTAAACTAACTTCTGGCTCTACAATTTTTTTTTTTTAACTTGAAGTTGGTTTAACCATTGGCAGAGTGAGACTTTTAAAATTAAATAAAACGACTGAAAGCTTGGAGCAGTGACATGCATGACGACTTCTTTTATTTGTGTTTTTTTGTATTTGTGTGTTCTTGCTGTTTTGTAGCTTTCGCGCTCTAGTTCAATGAGTTCATTATCACGTGAAGTAAGCCAGCATTTTAATCAGGTACATGTGGCTGGCCGTTCTCATTTATGTTAACTTCTTTATTTTCCCTTCTTTATTTTGCATTTGCTCAAATACTTATTAATGCTACTTTTAGCCATTTTCCTATCTCCTCATTTCACAGAAATAGCATTAAAAGTGAGTAATGATGCAGCGTTCCTTTTAACGCTCAAACAGGGTCTTCCAGCCTTTTTTGTATTTGAGAATGCACGTAATCCAGGCATGCTTTTCATTATGTTGAAGTTTCACTCAAGTGATTCACTTAGCAATTATGATCAATCCTTTTTTCTGGGATACCAGAGGTCAGTTGATTTTAAAATCAAGTAACAAGAGTCAAGCAAACACAAAAGAAAACTAAAAGAAACGACTGTTGCTGCCAGTTTCAAATCAGTAATGATACGTAGCTCATTTCATTTGCAAAACCCCTGTAGGAATTAAAGGAATGCTTCATCTCTGCTGTGAGTGAGTACCCTAGGGTCACCATAAAGGGGTGGCACGCTCTTTCTGATAGTTTATAGTAAAGCAAAAAAATGACACCGACTGTTTATTTTGGGGCAAGTCCTAAGGTCTACTAACAAAAGCGGAAGGTACTAATTTGGTGAAATGGCACTGGTGTCTTGTTTTGGTTTTGCATGCCTTGGATTTTCAGAGCTACCTGCAGTTTCTGCATGTGACATTGTTTTGCCAATTCCTACGTTAAGCAAGTAATATTAAAGATGTGGATGCAAAGTGTACCGGCACTTTTTGCAGTCGTTACAATATGCTGCTCTGTACGTATTGTTGGCATTTTTACTGTGAACGTTTTCTTTGTGTGCCTAAGCAAGCCGAGTTTGAGGGGCAGTTCTGTAACACTGATTTAATCCACTTTCCAGCCTTCTGCTGTACCACCTTCAGGGGGACCTCCAGCAGGAACAGTACAGTTCTACAATCCCTCTCAGTTTGCACAAGTGAGTAAAAGCCTGGTTGTTGTTACTTAAACAGGGCAATAGACTTAGTTGTGCTGAGTGTTAAGCAAAGTGAAATATTGCTTGGGTGAATCAATTATACAGAATATATTATACAGAACCCTATTGCTTTAGCTGTTTTTAATCAACATTTGCCCTTAAAGTAACCATGTTTGGCCTTAAGTTTCAGTACAAATTCTGCTTTTTCTTCTCACTATTTTCTTACCATCTCTTAGCATTTTGATTATGCTATCACTGCCTTTGTTTTTGCTCTCMTCCCTACTATTCCTGCATATTTTTAGAAAAATAATCCAGTTATGTCACCTGGTTTGTCTCCCTGCTTTCCCTACCTTCATAGCATTTGGGAATTCTGCAAGATAAAGCAGTAGAATTAGCAACTGCTAATCTGATCTTTCATCCAACAAAGTGTGCAGAGTTTAAAAAAGTAGCGTGACACAAGAGGCAGTCTCCCTGTAGGTTTAATTTCTATTCTTCTTTTTCAGTCTCCTGCGGTTACTGGAAGTTCAAGACTGGGAAGAATTGGACAGAGGAAATACCCAACGTTGAAGTAGAATACAGTGGTTTTGTATTCAGATTCACACTCTTTTTCTGATTATACAACGAACTCTTCAATCTTATGGCCCATGCATCAGTACTAGCTTGCAATTAACAGGGCAGTAATTTAAGGATGGGTGACTTTTTATTTTTATTTTTTCATGAGTCTTGCTACTCGCACCTCATCTACACAAGTAATTACCAAACAAAATAAATGTACCTTTTCCTTTTAAGAACTGGCTAGAAAAAGCTTTGTTGTGGTAAAGAATAGACCTAAGGGAGGAAATAGCTGCTGTCTGTTACAAAACCTCTTGGTAAATTGCATAGGCAATTGATTCCTTAAGTTTATTTTAAACCAACCAGTGAGAGTTTCAAAGACATAGGTTTCAGGGATTCCTTAATTTCTGAAGGATACTCCCCTCCCACTGGGGGACATACATGTCCACATTGTAATATAACACTCTGTGGCCTTAAGAGGACCATGCACAATCTTAATGCTTATAAAACAAGACTTGATTTGTCAAGGTATGAAATTCAAGATGTGCTCGTTTGTTTTTTGGCAAGGGGGAGGGGGGAAGAGGGGGCCACAGCTCATCCAAATAAATTGACCTATATTGAATGAAAACTGTGACTGTAATCTAATACTGATTTGATTTGGATCTTTTACCTAGTATGTATGTAGTTCGTGGTTTAGACTTCTTGTAAAGCAAATTGTATAGTCTGAAAGAAGCTGTGTATAATAGCTGATGCTGTACTAGTTGACGAGTGAGTGTCCGTTTAAGTGCAATATATGGTTACTTGCTTTCTCAAACTGCTGGCACTGCGTGATTAGCGAGGTAACAGCTTGGAAGTCATTTAATTTTTTTTCCTCTTGGGTGCCAGAATCTGTCCGTAATACTCTGTTCTTGAATTCCCACTACTAAAATACCCAAGGTCTTAACTAGCTAACAGCTAAATTCTGAACATGCTAAAAGTAGGTGGATTTAGATCTCTACCACTGGACTTTTAAGAGCTTTAGGTTGTAATAGAGCAAATCTTGAAAACAGTGATATGCAACACTCATATTCCCATCCACAACAAAAGAGAGAATAAACTTTAAATATTTATTAAACCATAGACCATATTTKATTTAGAACTTGCCACCCAAAGGTTTTGATTTTACTTGAATTTCTACCCCCGTGTAGAAATACCATGAATGTGAAATAACCAGTGTTGGCCCTAATCGTTTGTCTCTTCTTAAACATCATCATGTTTGAGGTGGGGATCGCCTTACCTGTGCTGGAGAGGGTTTATATGTAATTAAGAGAAATGGAAAATAAAGATGGGAGGGAGGGGGGATTGGAAACCTGTGGGKCCTCGTCCATGCTCCGTCCCAGCCTGGGGATCCTTTTGTACCGAAGACCTGCCTGGACCCGAGGTTCCTGGTGGGTTCCGGCAGCAGCGGCCCCCGAGCTGGGGCCCGCGCTGGAGCCGGGCGCCGACGTCTTTCCTAAGTGTAAGATTTGACACTGTAAATTCTTTAAATAAACTATTTTGCGCTCTGGAGCACTTTCACACGTTACTGCCCGCTGTGGTTATTGCAGGAGCGAGCGCGGGGGGCTACAGGGGCCTCCCCCCGGCCGGGCTTTTAGCCCCGCGCTGTAGGTGTGCCCAGGGGCGGAACGGGAGCCGGTTTTGGGGCGAAATGCGGGGTTTCGGCGCGTGCCGCCGGGCGCGGCGGCGCCGCCTGCTGCGCGCCCTCCGGCCGCGCGGG